TATTTCACGACATGATACATCACAAAATAGAGGTCTATGTGGACGACATGATAGCCAGATCTCAAACAGAAGAAGAGCATCTTAATCATCTACAGAAACTGTTCGAGAGGTTAAAGAAATACAAGCTGAGGTTGAACCCAAATAAATGTACATTTGGAGTGAGGCCTGGTAAACTCCTAGGCTTTGTCGTCAGCAATAAGGGTATTGAAGTAGATCCTTCCAAGGTGAAAGTGATACAAGAGATGCCTACTCCTCGTACTGAGAATAAAGTCATAGGATTCTTGGGACGTTTAAACTACATTGCCAGATTCATTTCTCACCTGACAGCTACTTGTGAACCAATCTTCAAATTACTGAAGAAAAATCAAGTAGTCAAATGGAATGATGAATGCCAAATTGCTTTCGACAAGATCAAAGAGTACCTGCAAGAGCCTCCTGTGTTGATGCAACCAGTCGAGGGAAGACCGTTGATTATGTATCTGACTATTTTAGAAAATTCAATGGGGTGTGTGCTGGGGAAGCATGACGAGTCCGGCCGAAAAGAGCATGTTATTTATTACCTAAGCAAAAAGTTTACCGACTGTGAAACAAGATATTCACTGCTCGAGAAAACTTTCTGCGCTCTGGCATGGGCTGCTCGCCGGCTAAGACAGTATATGCTGACTCATACTACCTTGTTGATATCCAAGATGGATCCGATAAAATACATCTTCGAAAAACCTGCACTCTCTGGGAGAATAGCGAGATGGAAGATGATCCTGACAAAATATGACATACAGTATACTACCCAAAAAGCAATAAAGGGCAGTGTACTAGCTGATCACCTTGCTCACCAAGCTGTGGAAGACTACCAGTCCATGAAGTTCGAATTCCCAGATGAAGACATCATGATGGTAAACAACTGTGAAGAATTCAGACCATATGATAGACTTGAACAAGGATCCCGATGGACCCTGATTTTTGATGGGGCGTCTAACGCACTCGACAATGGTATTGGTGCTGTACTCATATGAGGTTTTTGAAGATGATGAGAATCCAGAGGAGCACATGGAGGAGGATAAGGGGCCAACCTATTTTGGATTTACATTAGGGAGGTTGGTCGTTGTTTCTCTTTCCTTGAAGTACATGTGGTGAACTCAAAAATGGTCGAGTATTACAAGGGTAACTTGAGGCTATGTGTTTATATTAAGGCTTTTAAAGCTACGAACGGCTAGGAACCTAGTGACGACGAGACTATGAGGTATCTTGAATCTCGAGCATACTCTAAACTCACAGTTGTAATTTTTTTTTTGACACTAGGGAAGAGATGGTACAAAGGGGGTAGCAAAACAAAATCTCGAACTTCCCTTCGAAGTTAATAAACATGCCTGGGTGGAAAGGGAGGTATTGGGTACAAACTTTATTTTTGACTAGGCATGTAGGTTGGAAAATTCTTACCAGGACGTGGACTCGTCTTGTGACTGGTAGGCCTCTTATATAGATATCAATAAGAGGTTATGTGGCTCCTTTGATGGATGTTCATTGCCTTCTCATGAGTGTATGTTCTCCATAATAGAGTTTAGACATCCCTTTAACGTTTTTGAAGTGGGGATTTTGAATCATCTAAATATCACCCCTTATTAGTTGCATTCAGTGAGTTGGGCATACATGAAATTATTTCAATTTTGGTGTGAGTACTGGAATGGTGATCCGACTCTGAAGTTTTTCTTTCATTTGTTCAACTTGTGACTTACTTCTGCCAAGGCAAAGCGAAGGTAAGGGCTGCTCTCATTTCTTTAAGCGAAGAAAATGTTTCATGTTTTTGTTAATAGCCTCAAGAACTTAAAAGATCGGTATTTTTAGTTGTTCCCCGAGTTAGTGAAGAACACTCAAGTTTGCGTGTTCTTCCAAAATGATCATCATCTTGCCCCCTGAGTTGGAGTTGCCTAGATATGAGGACAGATTCCCCAAGTATTATAATCATGATCATTTATTGGCATCCTCGAATAAGTATGTGATTCCAACTGTGGAAGTGACACCAAAAGAAAAGAGTTTAAAGGTCAACCTTGTCGCTTTTTGGGAGAGGTTTCCAACAAAAATACAGTACATCGAGATGTGGGTGCTGGTAGAGGTGGCCAATGGTCAAGAAAGAAATGAAATCTTTGGTGAGGAGTAGGAGTTTATTTTATTATTCTACTTTGTTGTCGTTGTAGTATATACATTAACCATTGTGTTTATTCTGTTTTGCATATAGCAAGGGTGTCATCTAAAATATAATCAAGAGGGAGAAGAAACTAACAAAGAATATGTATATCCCTCTTCCAGGTTCGACTTTATATGCATTAAACATTGTCCCCTTCCATTGTCTCTCTAATAAGGATGGGTAAATGGTGGTTTTGGGCATTGTTAACTAGTTGTAGTTGTAGAACAACAATAGAGGTTTCTCGCTTTCCAATAAGATTTCAAGGGGTACCTTTTTGCGATAGTTTTTTATCAAGGAAAAGTAATTAGTTTTGCCATATTGATGTGGGTCGCCATCTAGGATGAATGATCGGATCACAATTCTTGTCATGTACATAAGGGAGGAGTATATGGGAAAATCCTTCCAAATGATACACATTTGCTTGTCTACATAAATCATGGTGGAGATGTTGTCCCAATGGTTGAAGATTTCCTAGAGTGTTGGCAAGGGAATAGGGTGGGAACTTGTTTTCCTCCCTTTGCTCTCGTCATCTTGAGGTGATTCCTCAATCACGCTTTGTGTTGTATCCTTGCTAGAATTTTTCCCAAGAGGCTTTGTTGAAGACTCTCTCCACTAAAAGGCCGCACTTAGGTATGAGGTAAAGAGAGGAAAAATTTGTTAAAGTGATTCTCACAGAGAGCGTCAATGATCTCATTTGGACCCGAGGTGTTCATTGTCAAAGTAATAGATCCAAATTCCATGGTGTATTTAGGATTGAGGTTGAAGCACTCATGTCTCAGTCTAGCGCTTGGGGATACCAGCAAACACTCGGACGTGGAAGTTAGTGACTATTGAAAGTGATATGCATTTTAGTTTAGAAAAAATGTGTACCTTAATTTGATGTTATGTCTTTCTTTTTATAGTCAGGTTCTAGGTTTTGGAGACCTAGAACCTTTTGTGCAAAAAGTAGTACAAAGAGACAATTATCCAAAGAAACACTTGAAAATAAGGAGAGAGTCGAGGCTCAATTCTTTTGATGAGAATGAAGTTGCCTTCACATATAATGAATGATCTCACTAAGTGATTCAATAACCCGATATATTAATTTTCACACGAAAAATTTATAATTCAATTTAACAAGAAAGTAAAGTAGTGGAATGGTCAAAAATGCTAAAGCTCGCACCAAATTTTCTTGCAAGCATCCTTTTGATAAACATTTAGTCAATCACCTTCAAGTTCAACATAACTTTATTCATTTACTCTCTTGTTTTAAGAGATTCTCGATTTGACCCTCATTTTTCCTAATTTCAATAGATTGCATATATTTCTTCTTTGATTGTTGAAATTACACCTAAAACTTAGAGAATTCTGAATCAATCTTGATGAACAAGAATCAATTCTTTCGATTGATTTCGCTTCTTATTTTTCACTCGAGTGAATCAACTACACATGGGTTGTAAGATGATTCTGTTGCACAGTGATTATGAGAGAAGAAAGAAAAAATGAATTGGTGAAGAAAAGAGAAATTAGGGCTTTAGAGAAAAGAGGAATAAGATGAATATTTCTGTAAAGTTTCTCTCTACTTCCAAACTGGAATTTTATTCAACTTTTCTCAAATGCAACTGCATTGTAAACAATGATAGGGTATCTCCCTGTTTATAAGCTGAGATTGCTTACACATTAAGCAATCTCCAACTAACCTAACTAAAACAAAGCTAAGTTTAAATTTGTTGAGACACTTCTTCGATATTTCGACTTCTTATAATTTTTGACACACAATATATTTTGACGACAACAGACTCTATCGAAATGTTATTTTGACACAGAAAATTACATTCTCAAAATTGATAATAGTTATTCTAAAAAAATTTCAAGAGAATTATCACCGCTAAACAAAAGGTTAGAATAAAAAAAGAACTTGTATATTTTATTCTATTGTATGAATAATTTCATTTTTACTCTTTGTTTCTCATATGTTTTTCTTCTTTCTCTTTCTTTTAACAAATACACTCGATTTACTTTTCACTTTTTTCTTTTCATTTTCTCCTTAGAGTTAGTTTCTCTATTTTTCTACCACTTTTGTATAATAAAAAGATTTCATATACTTGAGATTCAATACAAAATCTCTAATATAACTCTACAGGGAGTGCTTAAATTTCTTGATATAGATAGATACCCTACTTCCATGCAACTTCCTTTCACTCTTGTTTAGTTTTACTTTTCAATTCCATGACTTTATAAATAGCCTAAAAATCAACACTTGATAGCATCCAAATTAACTCAGAAAAGAAACATCGGCGATGTACTGTGATGGAGGGAGCTTTTATTTCTTCCAAAGAAGAGAATATTGATTTGAACCGAATCACACTCCGGCCCTTTCATCTCTCAGACCTTGATGATCTCATGGTATGGACAACTGATGAAAATCTTCAGTGTTCTGAAAAGAAAACAGAGACATGATCATGTTCAGTGTTCTTTTTAGTGATATCCAACTATGATTTGTTTGGTTGAAAAATCTTTTATGGTATTTCAGTTTTTTTTTTTGTTACAAAATGTTCAATACGGCCTTATATGAAATATCAAAACCATACCTCAAGTTAGAGGAATATTATAATATATATACAGAGTTACATAGTCAAGTCAATTATGGCATACCAACATCGGGCCAACAACCTTGCTTGATCCCAACTCCAAGTAAATAGATACCCTTCTTCCATGCATCTTCCTATAAGTTTAGTTTTTTTCTTTCAATTCTGACTTTATAAATATAGCTTAAGATTCAGTAAACACCATCAACACTTGCATCCATTTAAATCAGAAAAGAAAAAAGAGTGCTGTGATGGAGGGAACATTTGTTTCTTCCAAGCCATGTGCTAAAGAAAATAGCATTGATTTAACTCAAATCACACTGCGACCCTTTAATCTTACTGACCTCGATGATGTTATGGAGTGGACAACTGATGAAAAAGTGGCCAAGTTCTGCTCTTGGGAACCTTACACCAGCAAAGATCAAGGTATCAGCTTCATTGAAGATACAGAAAGCAAGTTTCTATGTTGCAAAGCGATATGTCTTGATGATCGTGCTATTGGGTGTATTATGATGTTCTCACCTGATGATAAATGTAGAAACAAAACTGCAGAACTTGGCTATCATCTAGGCTCTAAATACTGGGGTAAAGGGATTGCTACATGTGCTGTGAAACAAATTGTTAATTTTGCATTCAGTGAATTGCCATACTTGGAAAGGCTTGAAGCTCTGGTTGATGTGGAAAATGTTGGGTCTCAAAGAGTGTTGCAGAAAGCTGGTTTCAAAATGGAGGGAGTTCTCAGAAAGTATTTGTTCATGAAAGAAAAAAGTAGAGATATGATTATGTTCAGTGTTCTTTCAACTGATCTCTAACAAAGATGGTAGGAGGATAATATTGGAGTTGGTGTCTTCTCCATTTCTGACAGTCATTTTTGGGTTTGTTGAGATCCAACTCACCAATAAAATATTGTATTCACACATACAAAAAAGATTCATCTCATTCCTAATTTCATTTTAAATTGATGTCTTTAAGTGCCTTCTTAGATGTTTTAAAAATGCTCAAAATACTAAAGTATAGAAACATAGTCTCAACCTCCAAGTTGGAACCAATGTGATTGTTTTGTGATATTTGCTGTTGGTAAAATTAAAAGATAATATTGAAACTTATGCTGTTTTTTTGATAAATGGAGGACAGAAGCCAAAATTCATTTTCATATGATGATAGGAAATTAATTGTGTGCAATACAACAGTAGCTGACATAAAAAAAATATTAACACGCAAACTGTAATCACATAGAGAACTTGATTCATCAACTAAGTAACTCTATGTCGACTCGGTCAGTACCAACTGTAATCACCAAGAGAATTTGTTACATCAACTATAACTTGACTGGTCAGTAATTTAAGCACCAGAGTCACACCAACATGATATATGAGATTTCAGAAGTAACAGTCCATGCCATGCAAACTATGAGATAGCAGCGTACAGAAAGGTGCACTTAAACTGCAGCAGGATCGTTGATCACACCCAAGAAATCATCTTTTATGGTACCTATGCAGAACTGCAAGGGGTGATATGTTACATTAAACAAACGAATTCTATAAAAGTATTGAAACCCTAAAACATGATAAATAATTTAAAGACCAAAGGAAAAACAATTTAATAGTTTTTAAATACTTAAGAGACGCACCAATCAGTAAAACTTGATTCTCATCATATCATAGTCATAGGAGTGAGTGGAATGGATACATGAGTTTGGCATGTGCATGAGTAAACTTGATTTTCATCAAAATATAGTCAAAAACATTATCAAATGCTAAAACTGTCACTGGGCTGCAAGACCATCCATATAACGGGTTAATTAAGACATCTTACATACGCACTCCGGCCTACAATATAATCATGTCAGGAAATAGGAGCCCTGATCCGACACGTAATGATGTAACATCAACAAAATGGTAGAACAATAACCACTATTGGTGCATAAAGTAACTGGACAATTAGTGATCACAATTTTCTCGCAAGTTCTAGTGAGTTCTGTGCATCTACTAATAAAAAGAAAAATTGCAGCATGGACCAGTAATGATTCTTGCAAACTACAAAAGTGTGGGGTGAATTTTACTACTTCATCGAGGTAGCTAGTAACATATACTTGGTACTGATCATTGTTAAAATGGGTTGTCGGAATGGTGATAAAAGATTAACCAATATGGTGGTAAAATACTGGCATAACCTTATCGCCACTTTTATGATATGTGCAAAACCCTATGATTTACATGAGCTCACAGTTAAAACAAGCAAAAACTGAGGCTCTTCTAATAGTAAACAAATCAGTAGGAAACGAAAGCTATATCTGCCACAGTGCTATTAAAAGCTTTGTAATCCTATTAATTTGAATTTCTTAAAAGTATTATTTAGCATAAAGCCGAAGGAGCTTAAAAGCATTCATAAAAGTAAAGATGCAATATCATGGGCCTTACAATTTCAGTAGCGTCCACTCGAGTCCCAATAATCTTTAGTCTCACTTCACTATCTTTCTGAATTTTAACCTGCAAAAAAACAAATTATCAATGCCAAAAACATAGAAGAAAACACAGGATAATGAACCCCTAAAACACAACTTGCTCGCTTCTTCAATGACAAGTTAATACAAATGATACATACTGATCCATCTGATGTAGTGTAGTTTGGCATGTCTCCAGACTGGAACTCCATATCATCTGGAATCAACTGAAAGGAGAAAAAATGGCCCCATGAAACAAAAATATACGATAATGTACAAGTTGAAACATTTCCAAATGCAAAGTAATGACGAAAAACATCTTCAACTATTTATTTGTAAATAAAAGTGGAAAATAATCGTTGGAGAATCTGAATTTTATAACATAAATCATATTATCATAACAACAATATATAAGTGTATAAGGTGAAAAGATGATAAAGGCTTTTTGTCATAGATTATAGACTTTACATGGTTGGAAACGAAGACTTGAACTGGTCCAGCTTCAGCGAAAAAACCCATCTGTATAAACAGAACTTGACAATATAAACCACTTTATCAACATAGCAGAGTTAGACACCTAAATTAACCAAAGAGTAAAATGTAGAACCAAAGGAATTGCATAAACCTTGTTGACCATTGTAACTACAGATTCCAAGATCTCTCCCTTAAATGGTCTGAAGACAACACATTGGTACTTAACCGGAAAAGTCACAAACCCTGTCCCATCGCGAATTATCCCTTTCCCAACGTTCTCAATCCCAGTAACTGCCACCACAAATCCATGCCGACCACTGCAGGTGCCTTCCACGTCCTTCATTAGCTTGGACACTAGATTATCACGAAGGTTGCGACCAAAATATCGTGGGTGCAGTTGCATGTTTCGCTCAAGCACTATATGGAAAAACATTTTCTTTTTCACCCAACCTGGACAATGATGAGAATTTGAGATAGAATAAAAGGGATTTTCATATTCATATTGATTGAAAGAGAATTTACAAAAGCTACTATACAATAGCTGAGAAATTCATACATAGATTCATATACACAAACAACATGTACAGTCAGCATATCAAAGAATGATTAGAACTAATCAAAGTCATAATCAAAACTATTATGTACATTAATATTCAAAGAAATAGTAAAACCCTAATTGCGGCCAGAATGAGCACGTTCGCGGCAGTGCGGAGGGGAGCGGCCGCTGGCCTCCACATAATGCGCCTGTTGCTACCGTCGCAGAGTTTTGCGGCCGCTACAGTGAAGTTCTCTTGAAGAAAAAAATGACAAAAAACACTGAAGAAGAAGAATTTAAAAAAAAAAAGTCACAGTACTAACCAGCGGTGTGCTTTGAGTTACAGTGGCGGCTGTTACGAAAAGGAAGAAGGATGCGTTTGGTTGCACGTTTCAGTCACCAATTGGGCGTTTAACAGAAGCTCCGAAACCAAATTTCTGCCGCAAAGTGGGTTTTCATCAAATGCAGGCCGAAGAAACATTATTGATGAAATAAGAATAATTTTTTTAAATGACTGGTTTATTAACAACTTGTTTAAATCAACCCTAGTTGTTATATAAACAAGTAAAACAACTATTCTCTACGATGATTAATATCTCCAAATTTTATGAAATCTTTTTACACATATAGAAAATTATAATGTTATTATAAATTGACTTATTATACTTTCGAATATTAAATCAAAGATACTGATATTTTGTCAGTATTTTGAGTAACTCTTTAATCTATAATTCTACCTGAAAAAGTAGGTGCAGAAGTAGCCGCAGAATCTTCCACTAGTATATGGATAGTTGTGTGGACTAATGGATTTACCCATCTTGATCATTATAAAGGATGATGCTACGAGATCGAGTCTGTTTTTAGAGAAGATAATTAATTTATTACTTATGTAGCTTATCCCTTAGACCTTTTTAAAGAAGGTTATATTACTCACATGTTTATCTCCATTATAGATAATATATTTGGGTTCAAGGCCTTGTACACTCTACGTTTGGAAGATTTGTGAAACCCTAATGCTTATTGATCTTACTGGTGATCAGAAGTGTGTGGTCGATCCAATAGTTTGTTGGTGCAAGTGTTCCACAATGGGGGGTTGTACCTACAAGACACTCTGATGTTGAAGTTAGAAAGAGTGAGAGGTAAGAGTGAATTAGAGTTGTGTATGAATTAGATGTCTGCCTCTCCTGTATAGAAGAGAATTTACAGAGCCCCTGACGTTAGGCCAATGGCCTCCATTATGGGTTGAGTATCCAAGTCCATAATAGATGGCTGCCAGGATTCTCACGTGGGGATGAGGATAAGCAGCATGTGCACATCATCATGGGTCAAGTGCTCTGTGAACTTCGCGGATAGTAGGTTGACCACGTCCATTACGAAGGATGTGACGGCTCCGAAGAGTGCAGAACACGTTGATGACATGTCCTCGGGTGAGGGGCATGTGGATAACGCGTCTTCAGCTTGGGCCCCAATGGATTGGACCATCATTTGGCTCGTCCTTGACGCGATGGCAAGTTGGGTTGTTCCCGAGAGAGGGTTGGGTTATTCCCGAGAGTGGGTCAGCCACGGGCCCAGTCCAGAATAAGAGCCCCCCAAGTCGTTGCCCCTAGTCGAAAGAGTAATAATTTAGAGACAATCTGCGTGTCGAGAAGGGACAACAGGCTTTGCGCGAGGTGAACCTTTATTTGTGCTTGCAATCGTGTGCTCGCGGTGACAGTGTTTGCCATGTGTGATTCTTAATAGTGAGCTAGTGTGCATGGGGACGATAACTGTTAGTACCATGGTTTTAGGATTGATATAATTTTGCTAAAACATGGTTCACAACAAAGATGTTATGGGAGATGTTCTAACATGCTGGGCAGGTTCATTGAAGAAAGATGTTATGTTAGATGTTGTGACATTCTGTAACAGAACATGTACAAGTTGTTATAAATCTTGACAAATTTAATTGGATTCTGTGATACTCCTTTTGGATATATCTCAGTAAATTTCACAGGTCAAGAAGATTTAATCTGGAACAAGTTTTATATCTCCAGCTGTACATAAGTTACTAATTTGGGCCTTGAGACAATTTAGGAAACTTGGTATTGTTTGTTCCAAAATATAAGGAGATTTTATTGCACAATTGGTGAATCAATAAGCATGTGGATCAAGAAATATCTGGATGCAGATTTCAAAGCCCAAGGAATACAGAGGTGTATTTAAAGGAGAAAACCTAAACCTAATGTATCAATTCTTTCAATTAAGTTTCCAATAATTTTGTAAATTAGGGGAAGCATAAGTCTTAGGTTTTGAGAGTCTCTTGTGTAGTTGTAAGTTACTCATGTATCTTTTGATACTATGTGGTAGACTGATTGTTACTT